TTCGAAATAAATGAAACATGTAAACGAATCAACGTGGCTTTTGTTGAATTTCAGGCAGCACCTCAAAATCGAGACTACTGAAAATTCAGCGGTCAAAAAAGTGTTCAAAAACGGCCACGGAAGAGAAGTTTAATATTGGTGTTGAACCGCTTCCAACCACTGCACTATGTCGGTATACTGTGTTGCCAAACTTCGTGACAGAAATGAAGCAGCATTGATTTATGAGAAACTATTGAATTGTAGCCTTTATTTATTTAAATGATAACTTTATTTATTTATCTATGATGGGTGGGCGAGAAAAGTCTGGCTGGACAATACTGAACATAAGTATGGAGTGCAGCGTACGTTTCCCACGGGGATTTTGAAGTAAAAATGATGCTTGTGTTGAAGTGCTTTAAAAAATCATGTGACATTGTTGGAATAATGGCAAGACTTACCAGAAACGAGGACGAGTCACGCAATCGCTGGCAAGAGAGCAGAATTGAGGACGAAAGCGTTAATTGAACCGTCTCTCAAGTCGAATGGAGCTGTTGAGGTTTCACGAGATTTTCTCATGACAAATTAGAAGCTATTGCGCAATTATCGACGTCGCTAAACGGCATCAGACTAATTACCCCGGCCGGCAAGTCTTTCGCTGTCCACGACTTTACCACCGGACGAAACGACGAGAAGAGGAGGGAGAGCAAGCAGGAAGAGAGAGAGGGAGCAAGAACGGGCAGTGGTGACCAAGTCCCACGTCTGTCGTTGACAGCGATGGTGACAAGTGCTAATAAGATGTCAAGCTTACTGCCGGTTCATAGAATCAGAGTCAACGAGGTGATGGTTCGATGTTGCCATTGGAAGCAGTGACCAGTAAGTGTCCAAGCGATGCGGGGGCGAAGAAGAGGCTCACTGTGTGGCATCAGACCGTCAGTAGCCGTTTCGCCGTCCCGTCCGTTGTCCTGTACATATGATGCCGAGCAGAGCGGCTCTGAGCGAATCAACCACCACCGCGATGAGGATCGATTTCTCTGTTCGTGTCAGACGAAGGCGACGATGAATTTTTACGGCACTTCGTAATCAGAGGTTTTCTAACGTGTCCCTGACATCTGCTAGAGTCATCAGATGGATCATCGTCGTCGAGCGCTCGACAATCGAATAAGCTGGTCGTGTCGTAGATTGATGATGGCCGACCGACCGACCGGTCGACGGAACGGTATACTGTAGCGGTTAAAGAACCGGCCTTGAAGGAATCAGGGGAGTGAGTGAGGAGAGCGAAGTTTCGACCAAGCCAGTGATGAGGAGAACACGTGGCCGGGGCATGCAAAGGTGATGTCGATGTGCTGTGCTGTGCTGCGCTGGCAGCTGTGTGTCAACGTTCGCACACGGGTGACTGGGACACATCTGGGCGTCAACGTCGTTCGATCGGCAACGGCCACTGTGTGCTTGCACGTTCCACGCCAGTCGCTGATTGGCAGTTTTGATCGAACGCGCGAGGTGACGTGTGATTGGTCGATAAATCACGCGAGCTGTCTCCGATGCTCCAGGCGCTTATCGGGGCGTGCGCGGCGAACTTCGTCCCAGGCGAGAGCTAACGCCGTCGCCCTGCTGTACCGCTTACTGGCCACGTGATTGGGCTGACCTTCAACCTGGTGCCACGCCTCTTCCGGTCTACATGTCTCTCTGGTCCCAGCTGTACGTGCGGGCCTCTTTCGGCCGAACCGTGAAGACAGAAGACAGGTGGTCGGCAGAACAGCCACTCCTATGAAGACAAGAAGCTGGACGGACGACGCTGATTCGCGCGCTGCCAGATGATGGACGATCGCCAGCATATCGATCATGCACTCTCACAGGATACGTGTTCAGACTAGCAGACTTTAAATCAAAATCAGGCGTTTCGCCTCGTTTGCAACACTTGATTTAAAGGCTGCTTACGGTCTCTAGAACATACCATGAGAAAGACGAATTTGTGGCAAATGCTAGCTTCTCTTCGCTTTCTAGACGATATGATTTTGTCTAGAAATATGATATCGAAATATGATTTTCTGTCCAAATAACGACGACCGAGAGGTTGAAGGCGCTGGCATAATACGACATGTCCAGAGGCTAATTAAGGAGATGGCAATGCTCGAAACGAAAAGCATCATGGATTTCAAACATGCCTGCTGCCAGTTCACAATACGAGGTAAAAGGAGGCGCAGAATGGCAACAGGTGAGGATACAAATAACTCAGAGGAGACCGTCAATTATTTAACATGCCTTCTTCTGGTCAGGCAAGGTACCGCAACGCTCCGGAAAATTGACAAGCATGCTTAAATAAATACGCAATACGCAAATGAGCTTAGAATAGGCTAAGTAACCTTCCTAAACCGAGGATACGAGAAAAAGGAACACTGTATGATTAAATTTACAACTATCTGTAAAAACTGGTCTAATAGGTCTGCGAGGTATTACAGAATCCAAACTTGCACCAATCGTGATTTCCATCATTGAATTTGTCAGTGAAACTCAGAGGCACGAAATATGAAATCAAGTGAATAGGAGGTTCATGGAAGAGTGGACAGTATATTCACTCACTATTGGAACGCTACCATTACTTGTAACTGTTTTCATGCCAATGGCTTAAAATGGCTTTACGTTCTTTCCATTATTTTCACCATTTAAAACAATGGTTTTTTATTGCTGTACTGTACTAGGGAAGCTTTAATATCGCTTTGCTTCATTTATGACCTATTCTAAGTGCAAGATGCCTATTCATTTCCTTGTAGGTGCATGAATGTCTGCAAGATTAATCGTTTAACTTTCAGTAGCTTTTGAGAATGCCTTCTGATCACGGCAAAGGACCAACTTGGAGACACCGGTGCTGCGAAATAGGACACAGGAAGCGAGTGAACATGGTCCAAAATGAGGTATGATTTATTAGCCGTGACTCAATGCCATACGTAAAGTGTTCACACAGATTTATAACGTTTTAAGCTTTGTTGTTCATCGTTCAGGAGACCTTGTTGGCCATCGATTGAACACCGATTGCCGGCTGGCAT